GTGCACATCTCCCTGAGGTGAAACTCAACTGAAGTCAAGTCATAGTTGCTTTTTTAGATGGTGCTTGTGCCCTTCAGTTGGCCACAGTCCCCACCACTCCCTACTGCCCCCACACTGAGACCAAGTTTCAGGTACCATATGTCTTCCCAAGTGTATTCTAAAACCCTGCCCCGTAGAATCGAGATGACTTTGAAATACCTGTTTCACACTTCACACTGCTTGCCTAGGCCGCACGGACATTTAATTGTATTTCTTACTCCCTCATGTCACCATAAGTTCTTCTTCTTAGAATTGGGTCAACTGGGTTCCAATGGAGGACAACGAGTCACACAATGGAGCTAACTGTAAGTAACGTTAAATGGATTTATTACCCAGAGCTTCTAAGCTCCTAGGCCAGTGGTCTTTCCACCCATGAAATACATTGCTTTGGTTGTAGCTAAGGACTTGAAGAGGCTTTTCTTAATGAGAGAGTTCCATATTGCACATGTTCTCATTCCAGTTCACGGGCTGCCATTGACAACCTGCTGCAGGTTAGGGCAGGCACTGCTTTGTGAATGTCTCACATGCTTTTTCAGATAATGAGTCAGTCATTCCTTTCGGTTTCTCAGTGTGGGTGTCTGTACATAGGTTGATCTTTTTTTTTTTTTTTCATTCAGAGTGTGTCCTTTGCCACCTCTGAGTTGGTGGTATCTGGTGGCTCTGGCTCTCCTGCTGATGCCACACAGGCTGAGTGTTCTGAGATCGGGGACTTCTAGAATGGAAAAACCCATGTGTCTGGGCATTCTCCTGAGCTGATGCTCGTACCGGTAGAAAACTATCCATCAGAACACGAATTCATGTTCTCTAGCAAATGCTCTGAGGAGCAGCCTAGTGTAGATTTTAAGTATTGACGGCTGAGTGGAGGTTTGTGACCTTGGGCAAGTTATGTATTTTTTTCCCTCAGTTTCCTCATCTATAAAATGAGATTAATGATAATCGTACCTACATCACTGAGCTCTTCTGAACAGGAAAGCATTTCATCAAAAGTTTAAGAATTTTTTTGAAATTCATAGAGCAGTATTAGCATGTAGTAAGGGCTGAAGATAAATGACATGCTGGTGGGTTATGGGAATAAAAACTGGAAATATCCCTCTCTTCCTTGAGTGACGTGATCCTCATTATCACACATAGTCATGTCCAAGCCCCTTGTAAATACTCAATATGTGTTGGCTTGAACCTCATTATTGCTTGGAGGACTTAGAAAATTCAGACTCTAGTGATCCATCATAGACATATAGAAGCAGGAGATTTAATTGTGGGTTCTGATGATCTATTTTGGAAAAACTCATCATGAGATTCCAATGTCTAGTCAAGTCAAGGAACAATTGAAGTTATTTTCTCCTACGTGAGTATCATTGATGTCGGGAACTCCATCGCTTCCTGGAGATTCCCATTCCACATTGGATAGTTATTTATTTTTAACTCTAGTCCCTACTTCTACCCACACTGAGGCTACATAGAACATTTCAAATCTCTCTTCCAAATGACAGCCCTTCAGATACCTGCAGACAACTGCCATGTCCCTCCTGAGCATTTTCTTCTTTTGGACAAATTAGCCACATTGTCTCTTGGCTTTAAAAAATGTATGGAAGGAGGAACTCTTCTGATTGGATCTGTAAGAAAATTGAGCTTCAAGATCCACCCCCACCCCCGGTCTCCTTGGATACATAAAGGACCAGAAGATGAAGATGTTGAGGCTCGGGGACAGAAAAGAGATACCAAATAGGAGATGGATATGCATCTTCAATCTCAGAGGATGGAAATAGATGTTGCCTGCAGCCTGTATCTTACCATGCAGACACCAAAGGGTCCTGCAAATTCCTCAAACACTTGATGTATTGGGTATACTAAGAAAGAATCCCATTTCAAATGTTAGCCAGGCCCATCTACATGTTAGTGATAGGGCTGTATTCATTAGCTAAAAAAAATTTGTTGTGATTCATTAATGTTTGTGCATCTTGTTGTCTTTAATATTTCAGAAGTATAAAAAAGATTTAGCTGGGCCAAACTGTAGGAAGACTGCAAATGAATTTTCTCAGAAGAATTCACTTGCCTAAGAACACATCTTCAATTCATCCAGTTCCCTTCTTGAGTCAATTTCTCACTTCTCCCACCAAGCCCACAGAAAGCCTGGGTGGAGTTCCAATTCCTTGTGCAAATTGTGGGTGTAGGACATGATGTTGGGAAAAAAGAGGAAACCATCACTTGAGAAATTCTGAGCAAGGGTTCAGAAATTTTAGGCCACACTTCTGCTCTGACAGATTTTTTTTTTCATAGAGTATAATGGGGAAAGCCAAAATTGGTGTTTCATTGGGTACTTCCAGGTTTAGTTGCAAGAAGCAGAAGGACTATAAATGACTAAAACATGATATACCTATGTGCCATTTGGGGCTTGAGAAGTGCTTCAGATTTTTTTTTTAAATGCCATCTCTGGAACTATGTAGGCATCCAAACATTCACCATATCCCAGTATCACCAAAATATAATTTGATTCCTTCTTGCCAACATAGGAAAGGGAATTCATGGAATTTCCCTAAGGAAAATGATTTCATCATCCAGCTTGTACATGATCACAAATAATCACAAATATTAGCATTTTGTCAATGTTTAGGAAAGAATCATCTTACAATTTTCAGTCAGTGCCTTGGATACAGTATACATGTGGGAGAACGCTTAGGCAAGACCACCAATTGCAAACTAATCATTGCTCCTATTGCTACACTGAGAGTTGGAGAGGGCAAAGGTCTTGGCCAAGGTTACCCAGGTCATTTGCAGCCTTGCTCGGGTCTTTCGACTTCACATGATCGTAGTTGCAATTTAAGGAGCCCCTTCCTACCTGGGCTTCCCACCAGTTGCAAATATGCGTTGGAAACACAATCAATTGTAGTAGCGCTACAGTCAGGAGAGCAGTTGTTCAGAGTCAGGGCATGGGAAGCAGGCCAGGGATGGTGCAATATTACACTAGTGAGTGATGTCATAGCATGACTTCCTAAGACATTTACATAAATGCAAGTTCTCCAGAAGCTCTGACAATACCAGCCACTGGGAATGCAGGTATAGAGAGCTATGACAGGAAGGGAGGGCAGGACATAGGAAATCCATATTTTCTTGCTTATCACTGTGATAAGCTTGACAGATTCCTCAGAAGTCTGAAAAAAAAAAAAACTGTCTACTGTCCCTCTAATCCAGTGACTTTCCTCAGGCATCCAGGTTCCACAGGGCTTTGATTTTCTTCTTTATCTCTCTTTTCTCTCCCCATGATACCCAGGCACTGCCCAGAGATACCGAGAGTCAACCCTCATGTAGTGAAACAAGTTCGAGAGTGAGATAGGCTACCCATTCTAAAACGGCTCTGTCCTCTTCATTATCATGTAGAACAAATCCTCTAATCTTTAGAATTAGAAGTGATGAGCTGCAGTTCTTGGGGAATCAACCTTATGTAAATGCCATGAAATATTATTTGTGGGGTTTGGGGATGATTTAGGAATGAAGGCAGGTGGATTCAATTCCCAAAGACTTCCGTTTTATTTTGATCCGAAATAATGACACAGGTATAAATAAGGAAGTTTTCTTTAAACGTGTGTAGCAGGACGTGGGGGTTTCCACATGTTACCCTGATACTGGTTGGCATTGGAAGTTTATGACAATATCTAGTTAGACCAAACTCAGAAGAAACTGAAAAGACTATGTTAAGAAATAGCTCAGGATGCACCAGGTCAGACCAGGGTCTCTCTCTCTCTCTCTCTCTCTCTCTCTCTCTCTCTCTCTCTCTCTCTCTCCCTTCTATCTTGGCTTCCTCCTTTCCTCACCACCACTACTGAAATGCAATCAAAGCAACTGTAAAGACCCTCTTTTCTAACCAGAGACCCAATCAGTTCACAACATGCCCGAGGATTTTGGATTTCGTGATATCTCAACTGCAGAAGCTGCCTGGAGTGTCACCCAAATCTCATCACATGAAGCTTACACCAAAAACAATCAACAAGATCCAACACTTTCATCCCACACAGCATCGCTCTTGCTGGGAACAGTCTGGACACCTGCACATTCTCAGCAATCATCCCAACTATTCCTCTTTCCCCCACCACTGCCTCCATAGCTCCCTGAACACCCACCAGAATATCAGAAGCCGGATAATTCAGAGCCATCGAGAGGAATTTGTAAATACCTTCTAAGCAGCAGGTCCTCCACAGCCCCGAATGGGTCATTACTTCTTCATTCTTCCTGCTGGTTTCATTATCACTTGTAGATTTAGTCCTGCACACGCCTCTGGAATATAACCAGTAGTCCGTGCCCACTGCAATGGTCATTAAACTAAAAGCTGCGAAGGCTCCCACGGTGGTGATCAACATCTGGATACCTCTGTCACACATCCTCATAATTCTTCATGGTACTCTGGACGTCTGGGGGTTGGAGGGGGTGGGGGGAGATTCAGTGCCGGAGGAGAAAAAAAATCACTCTGCAGCTGTGTAACCTAGGACAGGCTCTCCCCACAATTCAGATCTCCTTTTGTCAGCATCCACGGGGACTTTAGGAAAGCTGGGGTTTCCTGTCTTGAGCTCTCTCCAGTTCCCTGGGTCGTCTATGGCCCTCGGGAGGGTGCTGGTTCCAGGGGGTTGGTCCACATCACTGCTGCCTTCGGAGGATCCCTGGCTTCCTTTCATTCCTCAGCAGCTTGGTAAGGACAAGGGTTCGTGCAGGGCATGGCTTCAGAGCCTGGAGCCTCCAGCTCGCTTTGAGATGCGCCTGGCTCCTCACAGCCCCGGGAGACTCAAGGAAAAGAAATCCGGAGAGGTCTGTGTGCGCGTGTGTGCGTGTGCGTGTGTGTGTGTGCGCGCGCG